TTTTTTTTTTTTAACTTTCATAATTGAATGTTTGCTACTGCTGAAATTTTAGAGAGAAATCAACTTAATTACGTCAAGGATACAATCTAAGTATCAACTAAACCTTCATAAGATCTTTGAGGATCAACACGACCTTGTTAAAAACTCAATACTTCCACAAATCACAAGTGCTTTAGACAAGGAAACGTTTCCAGTAGTTGATAGCATAATTTATAAAATGCTACACCAATGCTACCGACATCAAAAAGATGAATTTAATAAAGAACAAAAATCGCCAACAGAGGTGGACAATGATAAAAGAAGGAAACATCAAAATGGACGTAGAGATGTGGTACATAAAATATTATATTGTTAATTTAACTATTATATATATATTAAGACTTTTTTTTAATAATAGAAAAGAAAACGAAGGGCAAAAACAATAGATCATTTATCTGAAGTAAATGATAAATTAATAAGAAAGATAACAAAAGAAGACTTAATAATATTACAGACAAGTAATTGTTACCATTTCCCAGAAATCTCTGAAACAGATAAAGAATTGGTAAAAAGAAAGATCGTGATTTATGACTTGAAGTGGAGATCACAAGCTGTAAATTAAATTCGTAGCCACATATGTAACTTATTTTTTTAATAAGGAAAGTAAACTTGGCGTAGTAAGTAAATAACGATTTGCATATATTCTAAGATTTTTAGGAATTTTAAATAAAATTTTATTAAGTCGTATTTATCATTTTTGATCAAAAAAAATAAAAAATAAAAAAATTGTTATTAGCTCGACGCATTTTTAAAACTTCTCATAAATTATCGAGTTTAATTATTCGTTATAATAGAACATTATAAAATTTTTATTAAAAATCTCCCAAAATAAAATATCTAAGTATAAATTCTTTAATCTATATATGATTAACTTTTTAAAGCTATTCTAATACAAATTTTATAATATTCTATTATAACGAACTTTAAGATACAAAAATTGCAGTTTTTTTATTTGTCAAATATCTTAAATAAACTTGTTAATTTATGAGAAATTTTTTTGAATTGCTCTATGAAATTTTAATCCTATATACTTTTGGGTACGAAGAATAACATATTTTAAAACCAACTATTATTTATAATAGGGTTTAAAAATGCATTGAGCTAATAACAAGTTTTTTATTTCTCTTTTTTTTAATCAAAAATGATAAATACGACTTAATAAAATTTTATTTAAAATTTCTAAAAATAATCACTGTCAGGGGAGTGTATATTTACATCACATAGCTGATAATAATACGTATTATGTAATGGTTTGATATACATTTATGTTATTGAAGGACCGTAGAATGCATAAAATATTTGTTAATTTTATAAAAATAAATTCGTGTATATTTAGAGAGAATAGTTCCATGTGTTATTAGTAGTTGGTGCTAAAATATATGGTAATATTATAGAAATCATATATAAAACGTGCATATATATATAGAGATTAATTCAAATTGGTTTATTTTTTTAAAGCTGAAAGAGTTGTTAAGAAATTATGTGGACAAGATTTATGATGAAATGGCTAAGGTGAAACCAACTCGGATAAGAAGTTACGGACCAGGGTTTGCATCGGAGGATAAGCCACCAATAAATGCGCCAAAATGAATGTTGGCCAAATACGAAACTGAGACCGTAGAAGAGGAGAATGAAGTTGATGAAGAGGATGAAGTTGAAAGTGAGGATGAAGCTGAAAAGGAGGATGAAGTCGAAGAGATTGATGAAGACGACGAAGAGGAGAATGAAGATGATGAAGAAGAGAATGCGATTGAAGTTTTGGAGTGAAATAGCCAATAGCAATTATTTACTCATTTTAGACATCACGTTAAAGAATAACACAACTATTTGATAATATATACATAAAATGGTTGATCTTTAGTATAGGTGGGCATATATAATTATTATACAATTATAATATATATAAATTAAGTATTTTGAACTAATTTAAGTAATTTTATAACTTATTAGGGTTAGTATCATGGTTAGGATTTAAATTGGCTAAAATTAGGTAGATTTATATATTATAATCTTGTAATAATTTATATATGCCCACCTATACTAAAGAAGATCCCATAAAATAGAAGCTATTCTATCATGTTTAATAAATATAGATTAGCCATAGTGATAGACCCCAAAGCATTTACAGTATATATACAATATAAAATTAACATTAATCTACTATAAAATTAATCCGTTGTTGACCAAAGGTGTCACAGGCGATCTATATCCTGCATATGATTTGTCGAGTTGATAAGTGTCTCTCCTTATTTTATCATTTATTATTGGCCTTACATATAGAGTTCCTAACCGGATGAATCTGTCATCCGTTTATCCGATAAGCTATATCTGGATATCCATCTTTTTGATCCTTTAAATAATTTGACTTAATGCGCAGTTCGAATATAATATTCTCTAACTTCAAATTCAGATCAAATTCTAAATTTATATATACTAATTATAATTAGAGATGTAAAATGGCTCAACCGGCTTGTATACTAATTTGTAATTTTATATCTCCATTATTTAAAGTTAAAATTTGTTTCTAAAAAAACCGGTATCGCTATACTGCTATATATGCATTATCTATGATCATATGATTGTATAACTTTCAGCTAGATTTTTATGTTAGTATACGATAATGATAGCTTGTTATATAATATGCTATTATAATAATAGTACATAACTGTTACCCTATAAAAAATGTTGATCCGTGTTTATTATTCCATGTTTTTTCCATGAATGTTTTATTTTCATAGAATTTATAACCTTAAATCATGGAAATTTTCATCTCCCTAACACAGATATCCGTAAATATATCATTTTCATGGAAATTTTACGGAGGCCACAGAGAAATAATTGAAATATTCAGATAAAAATTTTTTATAGGTTTATAATGGTATAATAATGGTAACCGTTATCATGTGATAACGGTTGCCATTATTATTGTATAATAATAACTGTTAATTTATCAATGTTCAATCAAAACATACACCTGCATCAATACTGTATCCTTTGCATATAATCCTTGCTATTTTTCATAATTCCTGATAAAATTTAGCCACATGATTTTTTGGCCGATCCGATTAAATATATTTTTTGAATCAGACTGTTTAAATATTTTAATAATTTGCTAGCGAATGTGCTTTAAAAGTATAATTTTTTTTGAATTCAACAAGAGATATGCATAATCTTAATGTATATTAGTCACTTGATTTTAAATTACCTATATTATATCAATTTTTATTGAATTTATTATGCCGAAATAATAACTTAACCGGATTGACCAAAATTTTATCAGGTGTCTCGAGAATTATGAAAACAGCTGTAATCTATTTTATCCAATTATCTACTAGAACCGGATATTCTATAGATAACTGGGATAAATGATCATTAGATAGGACTCTATTGACATCTTTAAGTAGTGAGTCAGTCGCTCCACAATCTGAGGCGTCGTGTAATTTATGATCGGCTTAGTCAAAAGAGGCAGTTATATTTGGTGGGTAGGGTTATTCTGGTCATAGGTATGACTTGTTCTTCTTTCTATCTACTATTAAATTCAATAAACTACAGCATAGACCTTTTACTTGAACCTCAAACCAGAATAAAAACAACCGCAACTATCCACAGTACATTGGGAGAGTTGAAAAACAACAACCACGGAAGTCCTTAGTACGCCAAGAATCAACCAGACAAACAATCATCTGTGAAGTCATATGAGCAATGCAATTATGCAAACGAAGACCTGTCTGGGTTATTTATTAGAGTAGATTTATTCAGGATCTTAAGGGGTTTATGGGTCAAGTATGTACTTTGTTTTGGGGAACGATAGTTGTATGCAGCATAAAGCTTATTTACCAAGGGCTTTCATGGCCTTATTTATAATAAAAGATTTAGTATTATAATAAATAGTATAAATGCTATAAAACCAATTTATGCTATACCATAAATACCTTAAATGCGATAAATGCAATTAATACTTTGACCGCAGTAAGTAGATCAGATTTCAGGGCTCACATTATATAAACAGTTTTAAATTTACTTGAATCAATCTAATCTTGACCCCGGTTTAAGTAATCTGTGACCTCATATCACATGCTCACATCTTAACGAACAATATTTATAGTACTCAAAGTTTACTATTGGAGCTAATTGGATATTATATTACAACCACTTAATTTATAAAAAATCACCCTGATTAATATCTGATTTATATCAGTTTTACTCTGATAGCATACCGATTTGCACCATAAATCTGCATAAATCAGGCAGTCAAATTTAAAAATTAGTATAAATCGGGTAGTTATCAGGTTTAAATATAGTATACTCGATTAGTACCTGATTTGCCAGCTTTTGATTAGTGTAAACGCATCACTAACACACAAGCTTGATATATTATTAATACTGTTATTATACCAACTATTGAATACCAACTTCACAATTTTGTACTTAGCCAACAAACCTGTAAACAAATAC